GGGGGCGGCGGCGGGAGCCGCCTCAGCGCGGCGGCGGGCAGGGCGCTGAGGGGAGGTTCGCCCTCGCGACACCGGGAGAATGCGAGGGGGCCCCGCCCTCGCGCCCCGGAAGCGCGGGAAAAGGAGCGCGCAGGCGCAGCAGCGGCGCGGCGGTGGCATGGCGCGGTGGGTGCGGGCGAGGCTGGGGGCGGCTGGGACCCCCCACCCCGGGGCCTCTGTGGGTGGTCCCCGGGCTGTGGTTTGGGGGAATCTCTTTGGGGGGGCGGTGACCCTATGGAGCGGAGTGGGGAATCCCTAGGCCCAGGGTTAGGAGCTCTCCGTAAGGGACAGTGAGCCCATGGGAGGGGGAGGGGGTCCGCAGGCAGCGGTTTAGGGGTGCAGGGGTCTCTATGGAGTGGCAGGGTTTGTGGAAGGCAGCCCCTGGGGCAGGGGTTTAGGGCTGACTGTACTCAGGATGCAATGCTTGTAGAGGCCGCGATCCCATGGGGACAGGCAGTGAACGCAGGAGGAGCCATGATCTCAGCTGGCGCAGTGGGCGCCGGAGGTGGCAACTCACCAAGGCAGGCAAGGAAGTACAGGGGCTGGTAGGTCGTGGCTGAAAGCCTGGCTTGCTGCCTTCTCCCTCCACCAGCTTTCAGCTGCTATGTGTTTAAAAAGTCTTTTACCTGTGTTCAAGCAGCTGTGTTACAAGCTGTTTTCTGCTTTCTTTTGTTTCCCCTCTAGTGTAGACATGTCAGAGCGGGCACAGCTTATGGAGATGCTGAAGAAGGAGCTGAGATCACTGCTGATGGCTGCCAGAGAGGGCTTAACCCCAGCACAACTGGAGCGAGAGTACATGGCCATGATCGGCAAACCTCTCCCTTTACATTCCCTGGGCTTCCAGTCCACCTTGGAGCTGGTGGCAGATATGCCTGAAGTGGTCAGAGTCTGTCCTTATGAGAACGGCACTTTTATTCTCAAAGGTGAGGTTTTGTTTCCTTACAGGTGGGGGAGTTGTTTGGAACCACATACTGGTATGAAGTGAGGCTCCAAAATAGGGATGTGCAGGATAAATTACCAGAGCTGTAGGTAGATAGCACTCTCATGTTTTTTTCATATAGCTCTGTTTAATTTCTTTTTTGATGTTTCTTCTTGTTTTTTGATATTTCTTCTTGTATTTTGATCTGCCTTTTAATGCTTTTCCTCTTTCTTCCTGAAAAATAACACAGGCTTCTAGTTATTTTTGTATATGTTGCATTCTGCACTTAGTTTGGAAACTACAGTAACATTTCCTATGTGTACACTAGAACTAGTAAGCATCGCTTTTCCTGTGAATGGAGGCTACATCAGGAGGCAAAACTAGGGATGAGGCCTCTCAGGAGAAGCTGTAAATGTTTCCCTACCTGACCCCATGGGAAGTTTGGTCTGTATCGAAGAACCTTTTCATTTTCCTTTTATTTGGAGAAGAGCTGCGGAAACAAATGGTACATGTAAAGAGTTGATTTGGAACGGTGAAACAATTTTTTTTTTTATTATCTTTTTTTTAGAGCGCTACAAGTAAAAGTAAGACAAGAAGAAGTTGTTTAAAAGCATGGAAAAGACGTGGGCTGCTCTCCAGGGAGACCTTGCCTGGGCAGTTGGGTGCTCCATAGCGAGGATTTCCTGTGATTCTGGCTGAGGGGAGCAATGAGACATTACTGTTTTCCCAACAAAACTTGCAGCAGCTGGGTTTCCAGCTGTGATCCTGTATCCAAGAATGTGACCTGCTATCCTACCTGAATCTGGATTTATAGGGATGAGGGTGCAGGTTGGTTGTTGGCCATTAAAAATGGTTCAGTCCAGTTTGTAAAGGGGAAGGGAAAAGTGGTTGCCCCGCTGGAAATCAGCCAAGATTTAGGGTGATTGCTTTTGAAGGAGACACTTGCTTCTGAAAAGGGTGAGGAGAAGAGGAAAAAAAGGAAAGAAGAGGAGCTTTGCCTCTGTAGAGCTTTTAATGGTTCAGTAGTCTAATAGTTTATTTCTTTCTGTTGTAGCCGTTGCAGATGAGACCACCAAAACGATTGCCAAACTGGTTGCCCGACAGAGAAGTTCTAAGGCACGGAAGAATGCTGCCGTGAAGGCAGCCGCTGCTTCTCCCTCTAAGAATCCACGGAGTTTCCCTCAGAGAGGCAGGGCTCCCATCCTGCCAGCAAGCGTGAAGGCTGAGCTGCAGGATCTGCTGAGTTCCTCACCGCTTCTGCTCTTGGACTTTGAAAAGGCCTTCTTCAAACGCTTTGGCCGGGCATTCCAGTACATGCAATACGGATTTTTCTCCATATTGGAAGTCTTCAAAAGCATGTCCGATATCATTGTGGTTGAGCAGACAAGAGCAGGTTCCTTGCTAATCCTGAAGAAGTACATGGCAAGTGAGATAGAGAAGAAAGAGACGCTGCAAGACGAGGTGTGGGAAGAGGTGCCGCAAGGTGAGGAGGTGTGTTATTTAACTGAAAGCACGTAGCTCTTGCAAGTGCTGCGGCCAAGGAACTGTGTTTCAAGTGGATTTTGCTGCATTTCCAGTTGCCGTAGTAGTCACGGTTTCCCTAGGTTTTGTCACAGGAGGGCTGTGGGCTGCTGCAGAAGCAGCTGTCACAAGGGAGTTGTGGTGATAGCAGAGAGCTTAACTGGAAGTTTTCTACAGGTTGCCACCATTTTTTGGTGAGAGGTGAAAGAAGGGATGTTTAGCCTGTTCAGATTACAGACTTTCTGAACGCGTGTGTAGGACTGGAATTCCTAGTCATTCCAGGCAATAGATAACAAAACTAGAGGGATCTCCTGAATGCCTGCTCCGCAGGCTGGTAAAGCCTTTCCGATGCACTTTTGAGACTGAAGGTGTAGCGCTAGTCTGAAAAGCACAGCTTCGATCTTCCACAGAAGAAAAGAGACTGCAGGTGTCCTCAGCGTTCCCATAACGGCTCTGAGAAAAGGCAGGAAATCACATACAGTTCCTCCTACATTCCTGGCTTTTCTGGGGAAAATTCATTTTAACATCATTCTAGCAACTGATTTAACCTTTAGCATGTTTACAAGAGCCAAGTGTGGTTCATTTTGTTTTGATTTATTACTGCAGTGAAGGGTGCCTCTCAAGTGAATCCTCATGACTGTGGTGGCTATGAATGCTAAAGGGATGAGGAAAACACCACCAGTACTTTCCTTTTCAGATGTTTTCTCTTTCTGCTTAATATGTAAATAGAGAATAACAGCTAAATTATCTTCACGGCAGCACCTGCAGTTGAGATGCCTCCTTTGGAACCCAGCTGTGAGACAGAGAGCTTCCACCTGACTGCAGAAAAGCAGCCAGAGCCAGTGGAAACACAAGCAGTAGATTTGCATGATGGTCTCAAACAAGTAAGTGATGTGTAGCTTTTTCATGTCTTAATCCAGTGATTGATTGTCTTTACTGCTTTTGTTTCTGTTGAGTTTGTATTGATGCAGTGCTGCTCCCCAAAGTTTTTGTACCTGTTTGGATGAGACTGAAGGTGACCAGGCTCATAGTGGACTGGTATATAGCTTCATATGCCATCTAGACTAGGTCTTTTTCTTGTCTCTGTAAGGTCTTGAGATCTGTGTTACTGATCATCCAAGGTCAGTTAAGCATCATCTCACTCCCTGATAATAGTGCTGATACCTTTCGGTGTACTCACCTGTCATTAGACTCTAATAACTTCTTTCTGAGACTACCTGTGTACAATTTCCCCTGCTGCAGTAGGCAGGGCTGAAGTGTCAAGCAGCTATGTGACAGAGCTGGGAAATGGTCCTCAAGAGACCTTGATTCC